CGGAGGCCTCTCTCCTGCAGGGGAGCTGCATCCCGTATTTCGCGGCCGGGCTCAAGGGCGGCGCGCGCTCGATCCCAACTTCGGGCCCCCTCGCCCGGGTCGCCGAGCAGCTGGGCATCCCTTATTTGGGGGGGCCCCTCCTCCTCCCCCCTCCTCTGGATTGCCACCCCTGGCTTTCCCCAGGGCGGCCTTTTTCCTCCCTGCCGGGGGTTTCCCCTTTTTAAACCCCGCCGCTTTTTTCCTTTTTAAGCCCCGCCGCCTTTTTCTTCCGCCTGGGCACTCCCCCCCCCCCCCCCCCCGCTGTGCTTCCCGACCGCCTCTCCTTCCCAATCGCCGCGCCCCCTCCCGATCGCCCCTCTCCCCCACCGCCCCCGCCCCAGCCCCACCCCGCCGCCCACCCCTTCGCCACAGGTGCCCACCGGGTGGAAGTTCTTTGGCAACCTGATGGACTCGGGCACGGACGCCTTCCCCGGCAAGCCCGTCTACACCCCCTTCATCTGCGGCGAGGAGTCCTTCGGCACTGGAGGAGACCACGTGCGAGAGAAGGTGAACCGCCGCCTCGCCGCTGCTGCTCGCCCCCCTGCTGCTCGCCGCTGCTCCCACCCCCCCAGCCTGCCGCCCTCCGCCGCCGCCTCCCCCCCCGCCGCCTCCCCCCCCGCCGCCTCTCCCCCCGCCGGTGGCGGCCCATCTGCTGGCTCATCCCCTGTGCCTGCTGGCTCATCCCCCGCCTGCTGGCTCATCCCCCGCCTGCTGGCTCATCCCCCGCCTCGGCATGCGGCAGGACGGCATGTTTGCGGTGCTCGCGTGGCTGCAGATCCTGGCCGCCGAGAACCCCGACCCGGCCAAGCCTGCCGCCGGCGAGCGGCCACGGACTGGCGGTTCATCACCCTTGGTGGGTGGACTCTTCAGGCCAAGCCAATCGTCGGCGTCGGCGACGTGACGAAGAAGCACTGGGAGAAGTATGGGCGGAACTACTACGCGCGGCGCGCGAGCTCGGGGGGCGGTCGAGCGGTTGGGTCGGGGTGGCGCCTCGCCACTCCCCCGGCTGCCCGTCTCAGGTACGACTACGAGGGCGTCGACAAGCCCGCCGCCGAGAAGATGATGGCGCCCGCCGCCCCGAGGCCGGCCAGGCGAGGGCAGGGCCAGCACTGGGAGGTGGACGTCCCTCGTAGGCGGCGATGGTCGAGGCGCAGCCGGCCCTGATTGGCACGACGGTCGACGGCATGAAGATCGCAAAGGCGCAGCCTGCTCGGCCTCCCGCCAACCCTTCCGGCAGCGGCTCGCCAACGCCTACCCCCACCCCTGCGGGCAGGCGGACATGTTCGAGTACCACGACCCCGTCGACGGTTCCGTCTCGAAGAACCAGGCGCCTCCGCCCCCCCCCACCTCCGCCACTTCCGCCGCCTCCGCCCTCACCACTCCCCCCCCCCTCTCGCCCCCGCCCCCGCCAGGGCGTGCGCTTCATCTTCGAGTCGGGGTCGCGCTTCGTCTTCCGCCTCTCGGGCACGGGTGTGGCCGGCGCGACGGCGCGAGCCGCTCGTGGCGCGGCCCGCTTGCGCGGCCCGCCCCTTCACCCGTCTACCCCGTCCCGCGGCTGCAGATTCGGATGTACCTCGAGGAGTACGCTGCTCCTGGCGCCGACCTGACCAAGCACGCCTTCGACGTGGTCAAGCCGATCGCGGACATCGCGCTCAAGATCTCGAAGCTCACCGAGTACACCGGCCGCACCGAGCCGTCCGTGGTCACGTGAGACCTGAGACCTCTCGCGCGCCACTCCTCGCCGCCAGTCGCGGCCGCGGCGCATACCCCTCATTTTTCCTCCCATGATCTCGCGTTCCTCTTGTCGTGGCTGTTGCTCCTGCCATCGATGTCCCCTCTCTCCGCACAGACTCTCGGCTCCCCGATGCCGAGAGATCCTCCCTCCCTGCGATTACGATGTCTTCTCCCCGTGTTCCCATCCAGTCTCATACCGATGGATTGTCACCGGGAGGAGGTGGATGATGTGGTACGTCCTTTACCTGTATGCAAAATCGCGCACAGTTTAGTACAGAAAGTCGTGGGACACGTACATAAATCATCACATCAGACACAACAGCGCGGGTCAACAGGTCGTCATCTCTCACATCAGGTCAAAAGGTGCGCACTAATCACTGCGCTGCCGATTACTGCGGCGGCAGTGGGGCTCCTGGGTGCGGCGCGTCATGCGAATTGGAATGACTCAGGCTCCCCCGCGGAAGTCGATCGAGTTTTGGCGTCCATCGTTGCGACCGGTTCCGAACCTGAAATCATCCTTCGCCTCGACACGACCGGTGCCCGGGCCGCCAGTGCCGCCGAGCGGCTTCGGCGCCACCGAGCCAACTCCAAAGCGCCAAGAGTCGGGCGGCTCCACCGATGCGGCCGCATCCCGCGTTTTCGACGCCATCGGATCGGCGCCGCCGAGAGCCGTGGGCACAATGGTGCCCGTGCCAAATCGGAAGTCGTTGACGGTGCGGGACTGCGCGGCGCGGGAGCCGGTGGGAGCCGAAAAGCCAGCGGTCGTCGCGGCGAGGAGTGAGAGCATTTTGGTTCTCCAATAGATTCCCCAAGCCGATGAAAACGAGAAAAAAAGCCCGCGCGCGTTGGGGGCGTCCTTCTCTCCTCCGCATCCCTCGTTTGGCAGGGCACACTTCCCCTCTGGGCACGGTTCGTACGCAGACCCACACTTCATGCGGCGCAGTGGATGGACATACACTGCCAGCAGAGAGCAAGCCTGGCAGCTGGGGCGGCTGGCTGGCTGGCTGGGGCTGCAGCTTCCCTAGCAGCTTCCCCTCTGAATGAAGTGGCGGGCGACGCCGCCTACATCAACAAGCAGGCGGGCGCGCAAACGCGCAATGAGCTCCTTCTCTAAACTCTCTCGCACAACACTTCGGTTTAGCACCCCGCCCGCAAAGGGTGGGGTGGGGGGAGGGGGGGACAAAAGCCTGCGAACCCCACACACTCATGCACATGCAACATGTACATGTGTAGCATGTTGTAACAGACAGAATCGCGAGGGTGACGTGATGCGATGCGACATACTTGTACGTCGAGTAGCATCGGCCATCCCCTGCGGCTGCGTTCGTTGGGGAGCGCAGCTGCTGACCGCCGCGCGTCGTCGAAAGGCGCGCGGGCTTGAGCAGGGGATGCTTGCGCTGGCGGCTCACATTGCGCTGTCGTATTGCACTCTCCTCCCCTTCCTCGGCTTCTTCATCCGGCTCACGAAGAGCATCATCCTCAACGACGCGCTCACTCTCTTTTATGCAATCGTGTACTGGGCTCCCTTCTCGTTCGTCATGAACGTCTACGCGCGCCTCTTCCTCTCACGCAAGGTTGCAACCTTCCGCAGCACCCGCCCCTCCTTCCTCAAGAAGGGCGCCTACGAGTACTCCGCCGCGACCGACATCTTCTACTCCAAAGATTACTCCAACCTGGACGACTCGCTCGAAGAGTGGGGAGCTGTCGAGTACCTGCCCTTCGTGTACAACGCGGTCCTCAACAAGTACAACACCCGACTCAACTTTAAGCAGGTCCCCAGCCTCAACCTGACCCCGCTCCTCGACCCCCACCCTGACCAGCCCCGATTCCCCGTCCCAACAGGACCTGCACGGGCCGCTGCTCGATCTTGTCGCCCACTCGACCGATGACGAGTTCCGCGTTCTCGACATCGGACCTGGGACGGGCAACTCTACGATGGACATCTCGTCCGCTCTGCGCAATGCGTGAGCACCACTCCCGAGAGCCCTCGCCCACGTGCACTCTGCCGCGACACGGCCCGGCGACGCCCGCGACGCCTCAGAAGGCCACCTCCCGCACCGACTGACTGACTCGCTCGAGATACACACTCACGGCGTGCGCATGGCTTATCGGTGACGCGTCCACGCCGGCTGCGCAGCTGCGTCTGCTGCCTTGACATCTCTGAGCGTCTGCTCAAGATGTGCAAGGAGCGCAATCCACACGCGTACTGCTTCAAGGGCTCAATGGAAGACACGCTCTTCGAGGATGGCTCCTTCGATGTCGTCTATAACTTTGGTGGCATCAACGAGACCGACATCGACAAGTCGCTCGCTGAGACGGTGCCATCTAATTGCTGCCTCCCACCTCCCGATTCTGCCATCCACTCACCGCCACCCACCTCCCTCACCAGTGGCGTATCGCCAAGCCTGACTCATTAATCGTCCTCGCCGACGAGAATTTCGACGCGACCTCGAGGCTGAGGAAGCTGTGGGTGGTGTTCATCTCCAACCTAACCTTCATCCACAGCTACTATTGGGACATGACCGCATCGCGCCCGCCCAAGCAGCCCTTCCCCAAGATTCGCCGTTGGTGCCGCCACCCCTGCCCGCCATCGCGTTGCCTCGCTGCCTTGCGCTGCCGCTCAACGCACCGCCTCGCTGTCTCGTGTCGCTCGCAGTGACACGGTCTGACGGCCTCCCTACGCGGTGTCGCAGGCTAGACTCGCATGCGGGCGAGTACGAGGTGCTCTACGACGGAGTCAAGCCCGGCCTCTTCTTCACAATGGTCATCCGCAAGACCTCAGCTAAGACCCGCGAGCGGGGTCCCCAGCCTGCCATCCCCGTCTTCCGCCTTGTTGACTCCGGTACTGTGATGGGCAAGGCGTCGGCACGCAAGGCGGCATGAGCCATAGTCCATAGACCATAGACTGCGTGGTCAGAGAGGAGAGAGGAGAGGAGAGCCCGCGGCATGGTAGCGTAGGGGGAGTTGCTGAGGAGAGGCAGACTCAAGGAGCTATCTCGACGGCGGCGCGAATCCGGAGAGGCGTTGCGCTCGGCGTACATAGAGCCGTAGTAGGGGGAGGGTCAATCGCGATGTGCACGTCACAATTATTGTGTCACAAAAATATCCAGGCGAATTTAGGAATTTGAGTATTTTGATAGGCCTCTTTCCGCACGCACAAAGACCCACACCGGTTAAACGTATATCCGAGCGCGTACCGCTATCTCACTGACTCGGCCTTCAACGCTCTTCTCGATCTTCTATCGTCACCCGCGCGGAAAGGAGAAAGCCGCGCAGCGGCACGTCGCCCACGACCCCAGCCGCGACCCACCCAGCCGCAACCCGCCGCGCTACAAGGCCATCGGACGGGCGGAGGCCTGCTTCGCCGCCGCCTCTTTCACCTTCTCGTACTCGTCGCGGATCTCCCTTGAAGAGGGCGCCAACTTGCACGCCTAACGACGCGAAATCGCCACCTCGGCTATCATCTCGGCTAGACCTCTCGGCTGCACCTCGGGCTCGACCCCGCGCCTGCAGCAAATTCTTGCGCGCAGCCTCGAGCTGGCCGAGGGCTGCGCACGCCTGTACGAGATTGCAACCTCGGCTGTGACCTCGGCGCATCTCGCCTCTGGCCGAGAGCGGCGCGCGCCTGGCCGCGGCGGTACCACGCCTTCGCCGAGCCGGCGTCGATGCCGACGGCGGCGTCGCAGGCGGAGATGGCCTCGAACGGCCTCGCCTCGCGCAAGCGGCACGCCGCCAGGTTGAGCAGGCAGGGCAGCCTCAGCGCGTCGACACGATCCGCCGCCGCCGCGTCGAGCACGGCCGGGGCGGGCTGCAGCAGCGAGAGCGCCTCTGCGTATGCGGCGGCGGCGGCGGCGACGTCCCCCCCCTTGAAGCTTGCCGTGCCCTTGCCACGCCACGCCTAGACGACCGCCCCAGCCTCGCTCACGTCTCGGCCGCCTCCACGACGCGGGCCGCGCCTCTGGCGCCGTCCGCCTCCGCGCGCGCGAGCCGCTCGCCGAGCTCCAAGTCGGGCTCGCTCCAAGCCGCCTGCTTGGCGTTCATCTGGGGAGGGGAGAGATCTCGGCTGAGCTCATCTGCCGCACGCCACACCCCTCGGCTGGTCCACACCCTCGGCTGGTCCTCGTATGCCAGACATTGTGACGCGGCTCTCGGCGGGCTCTCGGAAGCTTCTCGGAAACGGCGCCTCCGCGAGCCTCTGCTGCGCCTCGCCGGGCGTGCCGCGCCCCGCGTTGGCCTCGCGCGCCGCGCTCATCCACTCGCTGTCCGAGGCGAGCTGCGCCTGTGTTCACGCGCGCGAGCTGTGAAGAGGCGCGCACAGCTCGCCACGACCACCGCCCGACGCGGCTGCTGCGCCGCGTCGAAGTGCTGCCGCTCGTAGCCCTCCTGGTCGTCCCACGCGCGCGCGACGAAGGCGTCCCCGAGCACCTCGACCGAGAGGCCGCACTGGCGGCACACCTCGCTCGCGCGCCGGTTCGGCGGCAGCTGCTTTGCGACGCCTACGAGAGCACGCTTCCGAGGCGGCTCCCGGGACAGCTTCCCGAGACGGAGGCAGGACGCTACTCTCTCGGCGCCCTTGTCGTCGACGTACATCGAGACGCCCACCCAGCTGCTCTTGGGGGTGGGCGGCAGCAGCTGCAGGATGTCGCACGTCTGGGAGAGTGCCACCTGCGCGAGCGAGCTCCTGGATGGGTCCGGGATGGGTTCGGGATGGGAGGTCCGGTGCTCTGTGCGCGGAGAGAGCGACGCGGATGCTCTTGGCTGCGTGCTCCTCGCAGGCGGTCGAGGGAAAGGCAGTCGGCAGGGAGGCACACCACACACCTGCGAGAGCATCCGCTCGTCGGGCGGCGCGGAGTCCTTGTTCTTCTCCGCCACCTGCTGTCGCACGGACGAGACGAGCGCATCGCGCTGCGCGTCGGAGAGCTCGCCCGTCTGTCTGCGGTAGTAGTCGTTCAGCGCCTTGGTCAGCGCGCCGATGTTCTCCTACGGCAGAGAGGAGAGCGCCACTTGCGGCGGGCTGACGAAGGCGAGCGATGACCGCTCGGCACGCCGCACCTCGAGGGTGGGCGGGATCGCAAGCTCGAGCTCGGTGATGGCGCTGTCGTCAGCGGCGGGGATGAGGACGTACTTGACGGACATCGTGGGCACACTGGACCGTGACGGCCGCGGGAGCACGTTCACAGCCTTGTTATTGAGAAGAAAATACTATCGCGCTGTGCGCTGGCCTGTGAGAGGTTGAGGTGCGAGCCCTGGAGGCCCTGGGGATGGGGGGGGACTACCCGCGGGCTTAGAAGGCCCGCGCGCAGGGGGGTGGGGCATTGAGACCGGTCATGAATGAGTGCGCGACACGCATGTTGCGAGCAGCGTTGTTGATGTTTTGCGCATCGCCACTGACGGCGGCGCGCGAGAGCTGTTGCGAGTGGTGTTGGGCGAAGCCCCGGGCGCTGCCGGAGGCTGTGCCGTTCACACAAAAGCCGGTGTGTGAGAGAGATTTTTAGCAACCGCGCCATTCGCTCTCACCTGGCAACCCTGTCTGCACGTCTCGCGCGCGCGTGAACAGGGCTCCAGGCCCCAAATTACGTGTGAGTGTTAGAGTTGTTTGGTGTGTGTACTTCTTGCTTGGCCGGGGTATCATTCATGCTGAAATTCTGCAAAAACCTGGCCGGCCCCTGCCCCTACCTACCTACCTACCTACCTACCTACCTTACTTATGGGAAACTAAAAAAGAAATCACTCGTCGTGAAGGTGGGGTGGTACTATACCAACTAGAGTGATGGTTGGTGGTACTCTCCTGCAACCACAGTCCTTCTTGTGACATGGCAGGCCACTCTCAAGCCCTACAAGCATCAGATCACCCATTTGGGGAGGGTTGACATCGTGATTTCCGCGGAAAATTTCTTTTTTCGGAAAATTTCAGCTTGAAGAGAGGGAAAACCCCGACGGGAGGGCCCAGACCTACCCTACCTACCCCGGCATGATACCCGGCCAAGCAAGAAGTACACACACCTGACAAAAGCCGCACTTCACACAAAAGCCACGGACCCAAGACGCACAAGCTCTTCACACCGCACTAAATTTAGACCCAGGCGCCCTCCCATCTAGGGGTCCCTGGTCGTTTCCGCAGGCGAAAGGATAAGACGAAATTTTCATAAAAAAATCCATTGCCTCGGCGACGGTATCGCGCGTCGCTGGTCACAGCGCGTAATTCGTCTACAATTCGTCTTCCCGTTGCCCTCCCGGCCTGGCGGGTGCACGCTGCCCGCATGGCCACTGGCTCCGCCGCAAAGAGGCACCGCGCGCACGACGCGATCACGATCGGCGATGAGATGAAGCGGTGCGCGACAGCACATCGCATAGCCTTTGTCCGCGATCCACGCGCCGACCGCACTCCCAACCGTGCTCTCGCGTGTGTCCGGCGCGCCAGGTACGAGGAGGAGGCGTGCTCGTCGATCGTCGATTTGCAGCGGCCATGTGTGGTGCGGCTCGACGGCCACTGCTTCCACACATACACAAAGGGCTTCCGCCGCCCGTATGACCTGCGCATCCACGAGGCGATGGTTGCCACCGCGACCGACCTGCTCGAGCGCTTCGGCGCGGTCACCGCATACACCGAGTCTGACGAGATCTCCCTCCTCTTTCCGCCTTCGACCGCCGAGTCGCCCTCGCTGCCCTTCAGCGGGCGAGATGCGCCGAGATAGTCGAGATGTGAGGCTCGCTCGTCTCCCCCGCCCTGGGAGGAGCCGAGCACGCCGCGAGCAGGCGGCATGGCCGGTAGGCGGGTGCAGAAGATCGTCTCTGTGAGCGCGGGCTTCGCCTCGGCCCGCTTCAACCTGCACATGGCGAGCCAGCCCTTCGACGGCGAGGGAGAGGCGCGCCTCCGTCGAGCCGAGTCGCCGCCCCTTCGGACCTGGCACCCTGCTGTGAACAGAGGCGCCGCCCGCGCCCCTAGGCGCCGCTCGCCGCGCGGGTCGCGCGGAGCGACGCGCACTTTGACTCGCGCGTCTTCAGCTTGCCGGACGAGGCTAGACACTTCCTAGACACTTCCAAGACACTTCTTCTTCAGTCTGCCGGACGAGGAGCTCCTCCTTCCTCACCCGAGACCTCAACCCACCTCGCCTCTCACCTTCCTCACCTTGCCCAACACCCCACCTCAGGCCAGGCTGGTCGAGTACATGCGGTGGCGCGCCCTGCTCGACTGCAGGCACTCCACCACCCCGCCTCACTCCACCACCCCACCTCGCCGCTGCAGACGGCACCTGCCTCACGCCGTGCTCGCCGAGAGCAGGCGCAACTCCATCTCGATGCTCGCGCAGGCGCACTTTCCGCCCGCGCGGCTGCACAAGCTCGACGCCCAGGAGGGCGCTGCATCTCAGCTGCATCTCGGCTGTCCTCTCGACTGATCTCTCAGCTGCACCTCGGCTGCACCTCGGCTGCACCTCGGCTGCAACTGATCCACAAGTCCGACCCGCAGGCCGCGCTGCGCCTGCTCAAGGAGGAGAAGGGCGTCGACTGGGCGCGCGAGCCCGCCTTCTTCCGCTTCGGCACAACACGTCAGCAAGAACCAGTCTGCCCGGGCGTCTCCTCACGGAGCTGTAGCTGTGATGCGAGTAGGCACGTACGTCAAGAAGGAGCAGTTCACCAAGGAGGCCTTCAACCCGATCACGCGCGCCAAGGTGACCGCCGTGCGCACGCGCTGCGCCGCCCGCTCTTTCGAGTTTCAGCCTTCGGAGGCGCTCGGCTTCCTGCTCACGCGCTTCTGGCCCGAGGAACTCAGCCCAAATTCCGCCTCGCCGACGTCTCCAAGACATTCGAGGGGAGAGGGGGAGGAGACGGCCTGCAGGGTTTAGCGGAGTCCGGACAGCGCAGTTTTCTCTCACTTCGCTATCAAATAAAAATCACAGTGTCGTGTGTGTCCACGCGCACGGGCTCCTTCTCGCTAGCCGACTCCTTCTTTCTATAGCATGCTCCTCCTATTCTAGAGAGAAGAGACCCCCCAATCATGCTACGCCACGGCTCTCGCTATCTCGTATCGTTACAATTGGTACTGCAGCTGGCGGAGCTGGACGGCGACGGGTCCGACGGCGGTCTCTGTATCGTCCTGCTGCTCCTCCATCCGCCCTCGCGATAGCACGCGGGCAATCGCCCTCGCCGCCGCCATCGGCACGTGCGAGAGTGCACGTACAAGTGCACACGCGCGACTGGAAGATGGCGGCGCCTCGTACCCGTGTGCCACCCGAGGCAACGCCTGCCCCTGGGACTGAGCTCCCACGCCCTCCGCCAGGGCCTTCTCCTCCGTGCCTCGCCGCCGCTCCTGATTTTGCACACGTTCTTGCTCCTGCCGTTCGTACAGTTGCCGCTGCCTGACCCGTGGCGCTCCTGCCGCGGCTAGCGCGGCTGGTGCGGATGGTGATCCACCGAGGACCAAGGTGAAGAAATCGATCTGCTGCTGAATCGATTGGCTGCGATCCACACGCGGCAGAGTGTGTGTTACCTCGTCCGCCATGATCACACACCAACAGAGGGAGAGGTTGAAGGGGAGGAAGAGGAGGACGAGAAGCAAAAGCTGCACGCCTTGAGAGGATTCGTGCGCAAGAGAGATGCATAGGCCGAGGAAGAGCAGGAAGAATGAAACCCACGATAGCTTTGCGGCCGTGACTAGCCCATAGAAAGAGAAGCACAGATGGGCGACCATGCAGAGTCCCATGAGCGCTACGTACACGCCGAAATTCCATATCACGAGGGTCGCAAACGTGTAGGTGAAGCACGCGTACGCAGTCGTAGTTTTCGTGCACGGCTCAGTCAGGCGAGGCATCGCCAGAGGCAACAACGGCTGTGCTCCACGCACACCACAATCTCCACAGTCGGTTCCAAACAGACACGAGCTGTAATGAGCGCCAACGCCCCCATCGTCACAAACGCCATCGCCGGCAAACTTACACCCCGTAGAGCAAAACATCTGCGTCCGTCGGTGGCTTGTCACGTTGCGTGAGGCGTGTCGGCGGGAGAGCTCTCGCCCAGTCGTAGAGTATTGCGCGCGGCTTTGTTCGGGCGCCTGCAGGAGAAGCAACCAGACGAGCACCCACATTCGTCTGAGACCGCCGAGTGCTGCCCCCCCACACTAGTTGCGGCGCGGTCAGTGACGACGGGCGGAATCTTCGCGGGACGCGTCCACAGTCGAAAAAAAGAATTCAGTCCTTTGGCGCGCACTGTTTATAGTAATGTTACACAGGCACAGGTGATGTCAGCGGTTGATCTTTCTAATGTGATCAGCGGCCCCCCGCATGACCTGGCCGCAGCAGCCTCTGCACATCCTGCGCCGAGTCCATCTCCTCGTACTCGTCGGGCACAGCAAAGTGGCTGGCTGGCATCGCAGCGCCGCCGGCCGGCTTGACATCGGCCACCACGAGCTGCGCGTAGAGAGAGAGCGGCAGTGGCACGTTCACCTGTTTCGCCAGGTCGTCTCGCGTGACCGCTTTCTCTCGCACAGGAGGGCTGACTGACGGACTCTTGGGGCGATGCGCTCCTTCATTGGGAAAGCATCGCGCTCCGGCCAGCGTCCAAGGGCGTGCGCAGCGTCGGAAGCGTGCTGATTGATGAGCGCGAGCAGGTTGAGGATGAGCTGCCTGTGGGACATATGTATCGGATGGGTTTCATGGTTGACGTGTCACAAGAAGGTAGGGTGAGCTGCAGACGGTTCGTGCAAGTGCTCGACGTTGAGCGGCGAGTCGTGCGCCAGCCACACCTATTGGATCCGTATTGCTGCTCAACATTCCTAAAAGACGAGTCGGTTCAGGTTGACACGCGTGGCTGTGTGAGGCACACCCTCGCACGCAGCGTCGATCCCTCTTGCTCCGCATCACCTCGCTGCCGCATGCCGACGCTCTTCATCAAGTCATCGTACGTCATCGGCACCTCATCGCAGAGACGTGGGGAGATACGGCCGAGCTGTCGGGAGACAAGGGGCGCCGATACCACCGCCACCTGCATCAGCTCAGACCGCACCCCATCGCTGAAGTCGCGCCCACGCGCCGCCACGTAGCCCAAGAAGGAGCCGGAGAGGGCGTAGGCGTGCGGCCCGGCCACATTTCGCTTGGTGGTGTGCGCCGTCCGCAGTCGGGTCTGCGCCTCGTGTACCACCGTCCTGAAAGAGGCGAAATGGAGCCACGCCCCTCAGAGCATAGACGTGATTGAGTCGGAGCGCGCTCGCACGAGCAACCTAACGCCCGAGACGCGTTCGCTCTTTGGCGCGCCGCGCCAGTCGAGCAGCGGCCTGAAGCGCGGCGCGTCGGGGCGTGTTGCGCTCTGCGTACCGCGAACGCCGCGGAGCACCAGCCGCTCAAACTCGGCGTCCTCAACCTATGCATATCAAACACAAAGTGAAGATGGCGCCACTCACGATTGTTTAACCCCGGCACCCCGTCGCCGTCTGCTTGGCGCGCGGTTCGCACGGCACGGCCAGCTCTTCCTTCGCCTGCACGAGTGACAATAAAGCGGGCTGTCAAGCAGGCAGCGCAGCCTGTGGTGGAATACCTTTTCTAAGTGACACCAACTTCAAAAGCAGCACCTGTTTGAGGATGCGCCCCAGCCACTTGAAGGTCTTCTGGTCATGGCTTACGAGCGCCACGCGCGGGTCCGGCTTGGAGGCGGCGCTGCTCCCGGCGGGTGGCGGCGCGAGCAGCACCGAGACGGAGCCGCGCTTCCACCGTGGCAGAAGCGACTTTGCGTCTGCGTCGAGGCCGGTGAGCGAACCGTCGATCCGCAACCTGTTCCCGCACTTAGCAACCATGTAGGTGTCTGAGGGGAAGTGTTGCCGGAGCACAAGCCCAAACAACGGCGACGAGACCTTCCACTGCACCTGAAGGAGGTGATATTGTCAACTAGCCGCAAGTCGCCGCGTGAAGAGATGGAGCCGGCGATATGAGGAGACGCTCTCGCAGCTAGAGGCAAAGAGACCGGTGTGGGACTCGTACCTTGAGGCTGACGTCTGGCATATCGGCCAGCGCCTCCAGCGCCCTCTCTTTTAGGTCACGCCGCGGTCGCCGCTGGCCGTCACCGCTCGCCTTCTCCGCCGCACCGACGGCGTCGAAGATTGCGCGCGCGGCTTTGTACTCTAACCGATCAATACTTTCCTCCAGCATGCTCCAGCCAGCAGTGTTTTGGGCCGAGAGGTTGGCACTGCTTTCCGCCATTTCTCGCAGTGTGAGGCTCAAGCACCGCAATGATCCGCGCATTGCCGCGATATGGCCGATCGTGTTACCACAACAGTCGAGAGCCTCCCACTCGGCGGCGTGCCAGCCCGATGTAGCCGCCGCGAGAGCCGTCTCGTCGTCCTCAAATGCGGCAAGATGAGCTGGCCACCTTGCCGCCTCGGCCACCGTCGCCAGGTCGGGCTCGCAGGGCTCCACGCCGAGCCTCACCCTTGTCCTTGCGCCGTTGGCTCCGAACCATGGCGTCCATGCGCTCAGACGGAGGCGGACTATGGTTGACGTAGCATTGGAAAGGGAGCCACGATCAGAAGGGGAAGGAGCGGCCACATTGAGGCTGCAAGGGCTCCGGCGGCTGCTCCTCCGCCTGAACATTGGAGAGCAGTCGCCGCAGGCTTACTCTTGTGTCTGACACGGATCCAGAACCACGAGTCAACTGACGATAGACGGCCTGGCAGTGACAATGTCGGAGTGCGGATGCGACGGGACAAGCCGTCCAGCGAGGCCCCCGGGAGGAGTGCGCGAGACCTAGCGAGGCGTAGCAGCGAGAAAAGTTGCGTTTGGAACACAAAAGCTCCAGAAAACGCGCGCGCGGGCGGACCCTCACAGCTCACACAGCTCACAGGCCCCTCCCTCTCGCACAAAAGCACCGCCCCTCTATCATACGACACCCCAAAAAAAGAAAGAAAACACACAATCCAAGGGAGATACGACACCCAGGCACGCTGAGATAGGTCGGCCTTTGTTTTTTTGACAGCGCTTTCGATGCTATCGAGGCCGAGCGGGAATGAAAGAAAGAAAGAAAACGAACATCCCGAGGGCGCATTACTTTTTGGCGGTTACGGACAACTTCCCCCCGTGCGGCAACTTCCGATTGGCGGCTGGCCGCGTATTCGGCACCACCAAAATGGTGTGCGGCGGCACCGCGCCGGCAAATGTGCTCGACCCCGAGGCGATGGCGCAGGCTGAGGCTCAGAAGGCGATCAACAAGAGCATCAACAAGATGATTAGGTCCAGTCGCGAAAGCGCGGAGAGTAAGACTAAGATGCTCCTGCTTGGCGCGGGCGAGTCGGGCAAGAGCACCATCTTCAAGCAGATGCAGATCATCAACGGGACGGGGTACACGAAGGACGAGCTCGCCTCCTTTAAGTGGATCATTCACCGCAACGTCCTCGACGCGATTCAGATCCTCATCACCCAGGTGTGCGGGTGGTGCGATGCGATGGCGAGGGTGCGGTGGCATGAGAGCGTGGTCCGACCCTCGACCCGCAGGCCTCGTCGATGGGCATCCAGCTCGAAGAGGCCAACGAGGGTGAGCTCTTCACCGCCCGCTTCCTCCACGTTCCCTCCCTCGCTCTGCTGCGTCTCTCTTCTCCCCTTTGCTCGCCGCCGCCGCCACACGGCTCCTTCGCTCACGGCGACTACCCTCGCGCCGCCACCCTCCCACGCCGCCTCGCCCGCCTGCAAAGACCGCGCGGAGCAGGTTCAGCTTTGGGAGGGTGAGAACCTCAACCCCGAGCTGGCACTGGCGATCGAGGCGCTATGGGCCGACCCGGGTACCGAACCTAGATGTGGGAGACTCTGGCAGACACTACGGATGTCTCGACGAAGGAGTGGAGTACTCTTGCTTTGTGGCCACTGTGACCTGCGTGCTAGTCGTGATGACATGGCCACGTCGAGCTGCAGCCGCTGTGAGGTGGTCGTCTTCACTGCTCTGTCCCTCCCTCACTTGCAGGCATCCAGCAGACCTTCGACAAGCGTGCCGACTTCCAGCTCGGAGATGCGTCCAAGTACTTTTTGGACCAGGTCGGCCGGATCGCCGCTGCCGACTACGTGCCGATCGTCGACGACGTGCTACGCGCGCGCGTGCGCACGAGCGGGGTAGTCAGCAAGGAGTTCTGCATCCCAGCGACAGGCACGACGCAGGCCCGCGCGATCGAGCTCTTCGACGTCGGCGGGCAGCGCAGCGAGCGGCGGCGGTGGATCCATTTCTTCGACCACGTCAACTCGCTTGTCTTTGTCGCCGCCATCAGTGAGTACAATCAGGTGCGAGCCCGAGATTGGTCGAGAGATTGGCCGAGGTTGGCCGAGGCTCGTTGCTCCCGGTGCAACCAGGTTCTCGCCGAGGACGCGAGCAAGAACCGACTGGAGGAGGCGATGGACCTCTTCGAGCAGATTGTGCAGAGTCACCACTTTTGCGGTGCCCCTTCTCCCAGAAGACTTGTTCCACGACAGGTCCGTAACAGGTCTCATCATTGAGCTTCATAGACACCTCCGTCTACCTCTTCCTCAACAAGAGGTGCGTGTGCCCATGTCGTGTGCCCACGTTGCCTCGCACACAGTTTAGTGCGCGCGTGTGCGCGGTGTGCGGCGCGTTGAGAGGCTGCAGCCCCGCCCCCAAGGGACCTCTTTGAGGAGAAGATCAAGACGATCGACCCGAGGAGGTGGTTCCCCGACTACACGGGCGGCTGCGACAAGGACAAATGCGAGGCCTTCTTCCGCGCAAAGTTCAAGGAGCGCATGCAGCGCGCCAAGAACAAGTCGGCGTTATACGTCCACACCACGTGAGCAAACGACATTGGGAGGTGGCTAGTTCTCCATACCGCTTCTCACCCATCGCCCAAGCCGTCGCTCAGGTGCGCCACAGACACGGGCAACATCAGATTTGTGCTCGACGGCATCTTCAAGGACGCAGCGACTTGATGGTCGACGCGGTGCACAGCACGACGCCGCGGTTGCGCCGCGCCGAGAGCAGCTTCTCGACGGTGCTCCACCCGAGCTCCGACGAGCGCTCGAAGACGAGCGTGAAGACCCGCTTGCGCATGATCGCCGAGAAGGTGGCGCGCAGGGTGGCCTTGCTCTGCTCCAGGAGTGCCTGCGGCATCGTCTGCAGCACGAGCGTCTGCCCGTCGCCGAGCATCAGCGCCAGCATCGGCCCCACAACCGTCGTCTTGCCGCCGCCCATCAGCATCTGCTTGACAAGCGGCTGTCCGCCACGCACCGCCTGCACAAACTCGCGGATCAGTAAGACCTGCGCCTGCCGCAACACGATGTTGTGCGTAAACTCGAAGAGCAGGAAGCGCGGGTCGTACCGCAGCCCGAGCCCGCCAGGCCGCCCTCCCTCCCCTCCCCCTCCCTCCGCTCCCCCTCCCTCTGCCCCGCCCGACTCGACCACGTAGTGCCGCCGCGCGAGCAGCTGCTCGGCGAGCGTCTGCGACCTGTTCTCAGCGTGCGGCGTGAAGAGAGGCGCCGCTCACAGCTCCGAGTCGAGTGAGGGCGGACTTGAGAGTGAGGGCGGAGACGATCTCGCGGCGCGCGGCCTCGCTGGTGCCAGCGGGCAGCGGGCGCAGCAGCTCGAGCAGGCCGCGCGCCTCGGAGAGGCAGCGGTTGGTCTGTCCCACTCTGCTCGCGTGCATGATGACAGCGACCGCCATGTCGAGCAGCTCCGCCGCCTCCGCCTCGCCGAGGTACGGGTTGGTTGCGATCAAGTCCGCCTCGCCGGCCGACGAGATGAGCAGGCAGAAGAGGAACTCGGGCGAGACGCACGCCTGCAGCTCCGCCACCTGCCGCAGGCCGAAGACCTGCCGCTCGAACGCCTCCCCCTCCGCCGCGCCCTCGAGCGGCACCGCCGCCGCGCGCCGCAGCAGCATCGGCAGTCCGTCGCGAACTGCCGCTTCGTCGCGCTCGCGGAGCTCCGAGAGGTCGTTGATCAGGCCGCGCACCGCCGCCGCCGCCGCCTCGAGCCTCGCGCCCCCGCCCCCCGCCTCGAGCACCTCGTCCGCGTCGAGCAGGAAGGTGCAGCGCGGCACCGCGGAGCCGTTCTCCTTTGCCGCGAAGGCCTCCGCGTCGGCGGCGAGGCGCCCGAGCATATCAACGGCCACCTTGGAGCGGGCGTCGGGGTGGCTCGACACGTCGAAGCCGAGGGTCGCCGACACGTCGGAGTGGCCGAGCAGGGAGCGGGAGACGCGCTCGACGAAGCGCTCGAGGCCCAGCGCCTGCAGCGGCGCGCTGCAGAAGTGGCGCGTCTCGTCGGCCGTGTTGGACGGCGGCAACTCCTGCCGCGTGAACGGGTCGCGCGGCGGCCGCTTCTCTCGCCGCGCCGCCCGGAGCAGCTCCTGGTAGCTCTCGGCGGCGATCAGGTGGCCGCCGGGGAGCTTGTACACCTGCTCGCCCTCCTCGAAGTCGCACAGGGAGATGGGGCACGCATCGTTGTACCCGGCTCCGGCGCTGAAGGTGAGGGCGGCAGAGGAGAGCACCGGCCGCACCTCCCTCGAGGCGCACAAGTGGTTGGTCACGCCCGCGCGGCCGAGCCGCTCGGCGCCGAGCTGCACGCCGTGCTGGGCGCTCTGTTGCAACAGCCAACAGCCAACGGCCGCCTCGGCGGGCAATGCGTCGCTCACTCCGCCCGACGACCGGTGCGCCGCGAGCAGCTCGCTAAGCCTCGACAGCTCGGCCAGCTCCCGCCGCGCCTGCGCGTCAACCTCCCTCGCCACAGAGTCGATGTCGTGCAGCCCGTCGCCGCCGCCGCCGCCGCCGCCGCGGCGGAGGCCGCCGCCGTGTGCCCCGCTCACCGCGGCCGCAGAGATGTCGCCGCCGAAGCCTCCGGCGCTCACAATGCCGTACGCGCCGCTCTCGCCGAACCCTCCATACCCGCCGCCGCTATACCCGCCGCCGCCATACCCGCCGCCGCCATAACCCCCGCCGTACCCTCCGCCGCCGCCGCCGCCGCCGCTCTGCCCGCCGTAGGCCCCTCCGCCGAAGCCTCCCCACATCCGCTCCTTGGTCAGCACGTTGACGCGGCGGCGCTGCATCGCGCGCAGGACCTCGGTACGCGCCGGCGACGCCTCGGCAGCGGCGGCGTGCATCTCGGCCATCACGCCTCGCAGCAGCGTGGCGAGCGGCGTCTGCGGCTCTTCCGGCGTCGGCACGCCCGAGTACAAGTCCCGCCGCTTGGTGACGCGGGTGTCAACGAACTCGGGTAACAGCTTGCCGAGGGAGGGGCAGCGGGCGAGGGAGAGGAGGATGGACGAGAGCAGGGTGGGCTCGTCGAGCTCGAGGAACGAGAGGAGGAGGGAGGCGAAGGAGGCGGAGCACGAGGGCGCAAAGAAGCCGCCAACGAGTCCCGGGCGGCAGGGCGTCGAGTTGGTGAAGAGGCAGTACAGCGTGAGGAAGCCGCCTGTCGGGATGGAGAAGCGGCGCGCGGACGGCGCGCTCTTCTGATTGAGGAACATGAGCAGCGCCATCATCCCCTCGAGGTAGTAGGCCCGCTCGCGCTTGAACCGCATGACCAGCTCCTCCAGCATCCCCTCCAGCCCCTCGGGCGTCTCCTCGAGCACCGTCGGGTGCCACGCGTGCACCCAGCGGGTCCGCCCCTCCGCTGCGCGCTTGGGCAGCTCGACGGTGCAGCAGGGCGGCCGCTCGCCCCCTCCGTTTTCGAGGGCGGCGATGTTGGACACCGAGAAGTGCCGCCCGAGCCCAGCCGCGGCGCGCGCACGCAGCGCGGTGCGGCGGTTCTTGCAGAGGGCGATGCCGAGCGGAGTGTGGCCGGCCTGTGCACACGCGCCCGCCGTGAGCCGCGTCTCTTCACACTATTGACGCCGAGCGGTGTGCGGCTGGCCTCGGTCGAGCAGCGCTTGTCGGCCACGTCGCAGATGCAGCGCTTGAGCAGCGTGAGCTCCTCCTCCGGGGTGAGCAGGCAGTCGGCGGAGACGTGCTCCAGCCGGAAGAGGTAGTCCGCCATCTCGAGCGAGATGTCCCACGGCAGCTGGAGCGGCGCGTCGAGCAGCACGAGGGAGATCTTGAGCCGGCACGCGCTCGCGTCGGGGTGCGAGTCGGGGCTGTTCTTCTCGCACGAGAGGAACTGCAGGATCTGGTCCTCCTCGCGCGACAGCGCCGCGTCCGAGCCGACCGTGTCGACGAGACGCACGACATCCTTGTACTGGCGGCCGAGGAAGCGAAGCAGCAGCAGGTAGAGCGCCGAGGCGAGCGTGGTGGTGTACAGGATCACGCGCGAGACGTGGACGGGGTACATATAGTAGGGGTGCTCGAGGTTCCCGGCCCACTTCACGTCGGAGCGGTCGAGCACGAGGCTCGTCGAGAAGGGCACGCTCTCGATCTGCGGCCGGCAGGGCGGCCACGCGCAGACGAGGACGGAGCACTCCGAGTTGGAGTTGGAGAGGAGCAGCGAGTGCGGGATCGCCTCGAGCATCGCCGACTCGGTCTCGGAGCGCTCGTTTGTGATGAAGAGGTCGGCGTGGTCGACGCTGTAGAGCCGGACCGAGTTGTCCACCATCAGCGCCTGGAAGGTGAGCTTGAGGCGCGGCAGGCTGACGATCCGCAGCTCGTCCTGCGTGATGGCATCGGGCTGGCCGAGCGCCGCGGTGTCGTCGTACGCCGCCCACGCGAGCACGTGCGAGAGCGACTCCACCCGCGACAGCACCGTCGCCAGCGAGTGCAGGTAGGACTCGGCCGGCGCGTGGAGCAGGTCGAGTAGAATGAGCTCCTCCTCGTCAAAGTCGGAGGCGGACGCGACCTCGGACGGCTGGCGAGCCTCGCCCTTCCTGCCGCCGCCTCCGGGCGGGTCCGGCCCGCCGCTCTGGTCGGCGTCGAGCAACGCCGCCAGCGCGTCGAGCAGCGCCGGCACGACGATCTTCGGAAGCCGGTGCCGTTTGCGCCGCCGCCGGAACGGGAGCAGGCCCACGCGCGGCAGCAGCGCGCGCAGCGCCTCCAGGCCCGACGCGACGGCGGGCTCCGACCCGGCGCCGAAGCTGTGGCCGCCCAGCCGGCGCAGCAGCGCCGCCGTCCCGTTGCACAGCGCGAAGCTTGGCTCGAAGGGCTGGGAGAGGAGGGCGTGCTCCTTGGTGAACTGCTCGAGGACGCCGAGCGCGTCGTGGACGGCGCGGTGCTCTCTCTGCAGGCGCTGCTTCGAGAGACGCAGCACGACAGCACGCGCCGGCAAGAGCAGCGAGTCGCCCCGCCGCACCTCGCCGAAGCGGGAGCCGTGCATCGCGACGTGGCCTCCGACGCCCATGTTGACGAAAATGACGTCCGGCTTGGTCGCGTCCTTCGGGTAGCCGCGGAGGTAGTCGGCCTCGTCCTGCCAAAAGGTGTACCGCTCGAGGAGCGACTCGGGCAGGAGCCCGGACAGCAGCCGCTGCGGCAGCCACGTCTCCTCGCCGCACGAGAGGTTCTCCGCAACCGACGCCTCGCGCGTGATCACCGCCGACGGCGTGGGCTGCGGCACGTCGTACGGGTGGCCCGCCTCGTGCCTCCCCCACTCGGCCCACGGCACCTGAGGAGAATCAAGACTCCCCGCAAGAGTGGAGAGTGGTGCAGAGAGGATGTGCCTCCCTTACTCGGCCCTCGCCTGGCGGTGAGCGACCGGCGGCTGCATAAAGCGCAAGCAGTAGCGCGCGTCGGACGTGTAGATGAGCGAACGGTAGTAGCGCCGCCCGTGGGACTCGAGTCGGTAGACGTGCACCTAGGCGTTGAGCGGCAGTCGTCCGCAGCGATCGTGAAAAGCGACTCGAGGCGGCACACGCGCGCCATCCGCCGCGCCCTATACACGAACAGCTCCAGCCACGCGCCCGCCTGCGCCGGCTGCTTGCCGACGAGGTACGCGACCTGAAGCATTGAAGGTAATTCGTGAATCTGATTACTCGGTTGCGGCTTGCCGGCGATGGTGGGGGTGGGCGACCTGCGCGTCTGCGGCGAGCGGCGCCTCGGGCATGTAGAGCTGCAGCGGCACCGGCTGCATCATGTGCGCCTGCCGCACGGGCTCGAGGACCGCGGGCAGCCACGCCTGCAGAGGCAGGATTCGGTCAGCGAGAAGAAAAAGGGAGCGAAGAAGCAGGCCGCAGCCGCGCCTTCTCCGACGGGTGCAGCTCCTGCGGGTAGTACATTCGCCAGTGCTCGAGCGGCGCCATCTTGGTGTCGACGTCCCAGTAGGCGATCGAGTGCGCGCGGCCGACGAGGCGGTACATCTCGCGGTGCGCCGACCGGTCGGTGAGGCAAGCCTGCATGGCAACCTCGCCGAACATCTGTGTCACGTCCTCCATCTCGGCGACGGCGTGCCGCAAGGCTTGCGGATGTGCCGCCATCAGGGTGAGTTGGAGGACCTGCGCGTCCACCACCACCGCGCCCTCGGGCTCCTTGAGCAGGGTCGGCACCTCCTCCACCTCGGCTGGCCGGCGCGCGCGGCTCGAGTGCACGGCGAAGCGGCCTCGGTTCGGCTCGCCCGAGAGGTAGGCCCACCGCGGCGGCACCTCGCCGGGAGGGGGCAGCATCGCCCCGCTGCCCTCGGAGACGCGCACGACCGAAGAGAGGACCGCGTCGAGCTGGCGCTGCGTCGCCGTGTCGCGCAGCCAGCCGAGCAGCTTGCGGCGCAGGACGTGCAGCGCCTCGTACACCTCGTTCTCGGGGACGCGCCAGGCGTCGTAGCTGGGCGACCCGTTCCACACGTCGAGCAGCTCCTTGTTCCACTGGTGGCGCGTCGCGAGGAACGCGACGGCGCAGGCGATGCTCTTGGCGAGCGGCTCCGTCAGCTCGGCCGGGGTGAGCGAGCGCAGCATGAGCAGCAGGTGGGAGTGGCAGACGCAGAGGTGGCGCACGTTCTCATCCAGCACCTGCTCGTCCTCGCTCTGGAACGCCTCGTCGAGCTCGCGGGACAGCTTGTGGTACCAGCCGAGCAGTAGCGGTCGCAGCTCGCCGAGCAGCGCCTTGCGCAGCCCGCGCCGCGCCGCCGCGAGGGCCTCCCGAGCCTGCGAGTCGAGGGCGAGGCCGCGGAAGGGCTTGCCGCGGATCGAGTCGTGCTCGCCGGCGTCGTACTGCAGCAGGAAGGAGACGTAGTTGTCGAAGCGGGCGGCGAGGCGGACGACGTACAGAATGACGGTCGTGGTGCTCGCCTTGAAGGTGCCGGTGTCGAGGTCCGTCGCCTGGTGCGCCAGCCGCAGGACGCCCTCCACGAGCGTCTTGGGCGAGCGGCAGAGCTCGTGGAGGAGCAGGTGGTGCGGCGTGCCGAGCAGCTCGGGCGCGGAGGCGGGCACGTCCTGCGGCTCGAGCTCGGCCGACCTGGCGGGCAGGTGACCACCGGGCTCGAAGAGGACCGCGTCGAGCAGCGCCTGCAGCTTCGGCACTTGCAGCAGGTGGATGCGATCCTCCGAAGAAAAGAAGGAGACAACGAGCGGGATGCGCAGGTAGGGCACCGTCAGGTACGAGAGCAGCAGCTCGGCGTCGTGCTGGCCGAGCGCCTTTGCCGACGCGTTCTCGACGTCCTTGTCGCCAAAGTCGGGCAGCTCCCACATGTGCAGCAGGTCGTCCTCGCCCTCGATTCGGGTCGGCCGCGTGTACGCGTTCGGGTCGGCGCGCGACGAGAAGCGGTGGAGCGGCGTCACCTCGCCGCGGCGCACGCGTGGCTTGGCGGAGAGCAGCTGCGGCGCGCCGCCGGTGGCGTAGCCGCCCACGTAAAAGTGCTGCTGGTAGAAGTAGAAGGTGAGCTGGGCCTGCCGCTGCGAGTACGGGGCTTTCGACGGGAAGGCTTCCAGCTGTGGGTTGAGGAACAGCTTGAAGTAGAAGCAGACGTCGCGGAAGCAGCGAAACTCTGGGTAGTTCTTGATGAGCAGGTGGTCGACGTCGCGGATGTACTGCGCCACGTTGCCGATGTCGGCGGGGAAAGCGAGGTCCTGCGCGATGGAGCGGACCCAGCGGACAGTCCCGACCTCGAGCGCGTTGGACGACTCCCAGCCGTACACCTGCGAGCAGGCTCCGAGCTGGCTCAGGGTAGGTCGAGAGGCGTCGGCGGACGACGGCTCCCGCCCGCACACACCTGAGGCAGCGAGGCCTGGGCGGCAAAGTAGTCGAGCGCGCAAGTGCGCGCCGTGTTGAGCTCCGGGGTGTGCACGGGCACCGCGGCCGCCTGCCGCGCGAGCTCGGCCGCGCCGATGGTGTACCCGGAGCTGTCGTGCGTGCCGCGCAAGCGGACGCACACGCGCGAGGGCTTGTCGGTCGCGATTTGGCGCATTACCACGTCGGCGACGGCGGCAATGCACGCGGGGACCGCCATCCGAACGCCGTCGAGCGAGCGCGTGTGGTCGATCGAGAGGGCGGAGGCGGCGAAATGCTCGCAGATGCGCTGCAGAAGCAGCATCAGGTCGAGCTGCTGCGCATACAGCATCGGGGTGCGCCACAGGCAAGCGCGCTCGGAGAGGACGGCGCCGACCCCCTCGCCCTCGGGCTTCGGCATCGGCAGCGCGCACGTGAAGGTGTGCTGGATCAGCGCAACCTTGAGGAAGTTGGTGTTGAGGACCGAGTGCGCCTGCACCGCCGTCGTGGTGCAGAGTAGGTCGCACCTAAATCGACGACGGATCGACAATCAACCAATCGAGCAGCCGCCGTCTCTGTGTGCAGGAGCGGCACGCTGACTCGCGCAGCACGCTGACCGCCTCCGCCAGGGAAGTGGCCGCCGCCGGCTGCGACAAAAAGTCGAGCGGCAAGTACCTCGGCAAGTCGTGCGCCTGTGGACATGTCGAGGGCGTGTCGTGGAGGCGTCCTCCCGTCGGGCGGCAAGGGACGCGGCTAGCGGGGCGCCTGGCCAGGGTCGACCGGCGCGGTGCGCAGCAGCCGCTCGTAGAGGGGGTGAAGATGCGGCGTCTGCGGCGGAGGGACGCACGACCACGGGAAGGCGCGGGCGTGGCGGCGCAGCAGCCGCACGCCGTCGGTTGAGATGAGCGCGCCGCTCTTGTCGAGGAGGACGAGGGCGGGGAGGCTGGTCACCTGGTAGTGCCCCATCAGGGCGGCGGGCAGCTGGCCGCCGAGCGTGAGCGACGGCCACGGCATCCTGCCGCGGTACTCGTCGAAGGCGGCCTCGGAGCGGTCCTGGGGCACGAGCAGCAGCTCGAGCCCTTTGCCGCGCGAGCGCAGCGACGCGTAGGCCGACGCGAGCAGCGGCGTCGTCTCGACGCACGGCGCGCACCACGAGGCCGAGAAGTAGAGCCCGAGCACCTCGACACCGTCCAGCAGCTGCGCGGGCGTGCGGTGCGCGCCGCCCGGAGGAGGGAGGAGGCCGCCGGTGCCGTCGTACCCGGCGGAGGAGAGCAGCGCCTCGAGCGTGGGCCGGCCGAGGTGGGCGTCGGCCTCGCAGAGGATGAGCGGCGGAGGAGCCACGTCGAGGGCCGGGCCGGCCGCCTGCGAGGAGGGAGGGAGGTCCCGAGATGCAGCCGAGAGGCAGTCCGAGGTAGGTCCGAGGTGGCGGGCCCCGCTGCCTGCTGCAGCGCGCTGTCGAGCAGCTCAATCTCGGACCGGACGGCGGCGAGCTGCGACAAGCTCAGAAGCGGGGGCCTGCCCGCCCCTCCCCCTCCCGCCCCTCCTCCCAGCTTGGCCGCCTTGTGCGCGAGCTGCCGCCTCGCAAGCTGCAGCACCGTCCGCTCCGCCTGGTCGAGCCGCTGCACAAACTGCAGGTCGTGCCGCGCGAGCGAGAACATCTGCAGCCGCAGCAGCAGCGACGCACGACGGCACTCCTCCTCGCTCACGCCCTGCCGCACCAGCAGGTAGCGGAGAGCGTGGCGGCAGCAGCCGTAGTGACCCGAGTCGGAGCGGCGAAGCGTGCGCGCGGGCAGCGGCGCGAGGCCCCGCCGCCGCGCCGTCGCCTCCCACTTTGCAATCGCGCGATCGAGCGAGTCGCCCGCCAGGTAGGGCAGCAGCACCTGCGAGGAGAGACGGGTCGGCTGATCATCCTCGACTGGCTCGAGCCGCCCGCCAGGCAGGGCGGCAGCACCTCGTACAGCACAGCCAGCGGGCCGCGCTTCAGCCGTCCCGCCGCAGCCTCCGCCGCCGGCACCGTCACGCCGAACCAAAAGACCACCCACCACGCCTCGTCGGCCAGCCGCGAGAGCGGCACGTCCCCGATCTCGAGGGCGGTGCCGTACTTGACCTTTGGCGGCGCCCGGCCGTCGGCGACGTGGTAGGAAGTGGTCCCCGCACGCGACGGGTTGACGACGGCGACGGAGCAGCGGTCGGCGTCCGGCAGCGCGCCGCGCCGCACGACCAGCAGCAGCGGCACCTCGCCGTCCCACGGCAGCAGCAGCACCCCCGATGGCTGCAACTCGTCGAAGGCCTTGGCGACGGCCGAGAAGAAGGAGCGCTCCTGCCCGCCGCCCTTGCGCGCGTGCGCGAGCTTGTGCGCCAGCTTGCGCGCGTCCTTGAGCTGCGCCGCCGCAGTGTTGAGGGCGGAGCGCGCGGCGTGCGAGAGCTGCTGGCCGGGGCCTGTTCACAGTGAAGAGGCGTGAAGAGGCGCTGGTCACTTGCTCGCGCGAGAGCGGCCGGCGTGCGCCGCTCTCGTGCAGCATCGCGTCGAGAGCGAGTGCGAGCACCTACGTGCAGCCCCGTGAGCAGGAGGTGTGAAGAGGAGCGGTGTGAAGAGGAGCGGTGTGAAGAGGAGCGGTGTGAAGAGGAGGGGTGTGAAGAGGAGGGGTGTGAAGAGGAGGGGTGTGAGCAGGAGGAGTGAAGAGCACCTCGAGCGAGACGTGCAAGCTCGACTCCTCGAGCGGCGACTGGGCGATGAACGGGTCGCAAAACTCGGCGCCGAAGGCGGGGTGAAGCCACACGGGGGGAGGGCGGGCGTACAGCGGCTGCAGGGAGAGCTGCTCGGCGGCAGACGTCTTTGCGGCCGAGCGCACCTCCTCCTCCTCGTCGGCGGAGCGGACCTGTTCACAGCTGCGGGCGTGAAGAGACTGCTCGCTCCTCCTCCTCCCCGCCGCCGTCGGCGAGCGGGCCTTGTGCAGCTCCTCACGCACCTCCTCCTCCGTCCACACCTTGGACGTCAGCCGCAGGTACTTGACGCACAGACCGGGCGCGAGCGGGCCTGTCCACGGCTGCAGGCGTGAAGAGACGCCGTCCACAGGCGCCGGTCATAGGGGGCGGGGGCGCCCTCGCGGCCCGCGGCGGCGTCCTCCACCGCGAAGAGGGCGAGGAACTGCGGGTCGATGACAAACTTCTCCTGCAGCTGCGGCTTCGGGCCTGCAGCCTTGTCCTCGCCGCCGCCCTGTGCCTCCTCCTCCGCCTTCTTCGCCTCCTCCTTGTCCTTCTTGGGCGCCTCGAGCTTCACGCTCGCGCACAGCCGTCCGTCGACGTACGTGAGCAGCTCGCCCGGCTTGCGCGTCACCACGATCCAGTTCCAACGCTCCGCGTGTGCCGCAGCCTCTTGCGTGCCCATGTCGCTCAGCGCTCCTGTTCACGGCGGGAGCTGTGAGGAGGCGCCGTTCACGGGCGCCTGCCGCGCGCGCCGCGTCGCTCACCCACGCCGCCGTTCTTGAAGAGCTGGACCGACTCGACCCGCTCCCCCTGCGGCGGCGGCGCTCCTCCGTGGAAGAGGGGCAGCGGCGCGGGCGGCAGCGCCTCGAGCCGCATCGCCAGGACGAGCGAGTACTCGTGCAGTCTCCCGTCCTCGGCAAGCACCCACGGGGAGGCCTACTCTCGGCACAAACTCGTCGCGCCTCGGCGGAGCGCGGCGGAGCCCGGTGCATCCGGCGGATCCCGGCGCCTGCAGCTGCAGCTTGAGGAAGGAGCCCTCCGGAACGAGCAGCGCCTGCAGAAAGAAGGCAAGGTGGCAAGCCAGATCGAAAGAACAGCGCCGAGGGAAAGGGTGAGGAGCGCGCCTGCGAGCCGTCCTCCTGCTCCTCGAGCGCCGCCTCGGCGCCGAGCAGCTCCACACCTGCTCACAACCGAAGCAGGCGTGACCTGGCGCTGGTCGCACCGGAAGCGTCTGCCGCCGCGCATCGCCGCGCCCTCAGGCATCGGAAAGCGGCTGCTCGAAGGGCCGGCGCCGCTGCCGTCGCCCTCGGCCCGCGGGATGGAGCGAAAATCGGCCACCATGTCGACCTTGGACGCCGCTCCGAGCCCGAGCCACCCGCCAGCCTTCTCTCCTTTGCCCACAGGGCCGGCGGCCCGGCTGGGGCCACCCTTGGTGTCGTCGTCATCGTCGCTCCAGATGCCGCTCATGCCGGTCAGCAGGCCGTCCAGCGGGTCGTCCTCGAGGAAGCGGATCTCCTTGCCGAAGCCTCCCAGCCCGAGCTCCTTGATCTTTTCCTGCCGCTTTCCGAATTTCGTCTCGTTGAGGTCGTCATGATCCCTCTCCTGCTTTGGCGCCTTTGGCTCGAACCTGCCCTCCTCGTCATTGCCGCGGCCGCGGCCTCCGCGACCAGCGTGGCCAGGGCGACGGCCGAATGTTCGACCACGCGGCATGGACGTACACACAACAGCGGCGGCGGCGGCGGCGGCGGCGGCGCCGGTGCGGACCTCGCCTCTTCGCCTCCGGCGCTCGAGCTGAGCTCCGCAGTCTAGGTCGCGGCCAAACCACCACCACGCCCCGACGAAGGATTTCACTATTGGGAGAAGCCGACAGGCTGACCGGCCATTAGAGCACAATATCACTCCCTTCTTGCTTAGTGCTTACGGGCAGGGTAGAGATTCTTCTTTAATTTGTGCACTTTCAATGGCCTGTTGATTGTTGACACAATATGGCGTTCTCTCGTCTTGAGCGGCGGTAGGAGGCCCACTCCCCGACATTCTCTCCCCTGTTCTCGCCTCGCAATGCACACAGGCCGCTGACATACAGGGCCGGTCAGGGTAAACAGGTGGAGAGTTCAGATCATCCACAGGGAGACGGCGCGGTGCTCTACACAGGCCTGTAGGTCATCCACATCGCGACCGGCCCGCGACAATAAGGGCACGCGTCTTGCATGCGCTCGGAGCAGGGACCGCAAGCACAGTGGTGGCCGCAGGGGACCGCGACGTGCGTCTTTGGCCGGGTGAAGCAGACGATACACGTGGTCTCGCCTCCCATCGTGGACTCGGGGACCATGCGGCCCGTCTCAAAGTGTGCGTCAGCCAGAGAGACCACCCCAATCGGCGGCGGCGAATCGAGCGCTGGCGAGTCATTCACAAGTGCGTCGTTGTAAGGCGCACCCGGCTCGCTGTCTTCGTCGATTACCTCTTCCGAGGCCGGGGAGGCCGGGGAGGCCGGTCTCGACAAGGCCGCCTGCTCCGACAAGGCAGCCTGCTCCGGCAACGTCGAAAGAGCACCCCGCTCCTGAATCCTCACCTCAGGTTCGAGTAGCTCGCTTGGCTGCACTGCCCGCGGCTCCACCGCCTTGCTGGCGTCCTCCCTCGCCCGCTGTGCCGCTGGCATCGCAACCGCCGCGCGCTGCGCACCTCCTGCCTCCTCGACTTCCGCTCTCCCGCTTGCCTGCGGGGCCGTGCTTGAGGCGCTTCGCCCCGCCTGCTTCCTCGCCCGCCCGCGCCGTGACGAGCCGTGTGCCGGCTCCTGACGACTAGGCGGTCGCACGTCGGAAGGCACTGCTTTAGCCCATTGTCGGAGACTTGCCCAAGACCAGAGCCCTTTGGCCGCAGCAGCCCCCTTCGCCCACGCAGCCACTGCCACAACAGCCACCGACAAGGAAAGGCCAAACTTTGTAGCCCCCACCGCCACCGTCTGCACGCTCCCTCGCCATCCTTCTGCATTGTGTCCCCACGCTGTGCACGCCGCCCACGCGACCAACGCCCACGTTGCCACCGCCAGCGCAAATGTGTCGCGGATGTCGATCAGGAATGGATGCTCGAGCAGCTGCACGCCGGAAGTCACAAGCGTCCTGGCGTGCTCCAGCGATGTCCTCCACCAGGTCCGCCGCTGGCGTCGAGCGCGAGCGCGGGAGTTGCCCCCTCTTTGTGTGTCGCGCATGTAGCACTGCGGCATGCAGATGCAGATGAACCCCAGGACCACAGACATGGCTGCACACAGCGCCACGGACACGTCGGCCGCCCACGTCACCCAACCGTCCACCTCTACGACGCGCCGTCGTGAAGACTCTCCGTCAGGCCGCGCCTTGTCGCTCGGAGCAGAATGTTCAATCGACCGTTTGATGGCCTGTACAACCTCGGTGTGGCCGTGGTTCTGAGCTATCTGCAGCGCCGTATTACCCTCGGCATCGCGCGCCCGCGGTTCTGCGCCCGCCCGCAGCAGGCGGCGCACGGCGGCGACTTCGTTGAACTCGGCGGCGCCCATCAGCGCGGTGCGGCGCTTCCCCCACCTCTGGTTGACCCTCGCGCCGCGCTGAAGCAGCATCTCGAGAACCCGCTCTTGGCCAAAGCGAGCAGCGGCCACCAGAAGCGTGAGGCCGCTCACGCCCCCCCTCGCGTCCAACCGTCCAACTGCTAGGGAGGCTGATGCTGCCCGTTCATCGCATGTCGCGTCAACCTGACCGCCACCGTCGAGCCACGCCCGCACCGCCGCCTCATCCCCTAACCCTGCAGCTTCCGCGATCTCATGAGGAACTAGCTGGCTCCTCTGTGCGCCACCACCCAAGCTCGCAAGCACCAATCCGCTGGCGACGAGCCAGCACATCACCATCTGGCGCGCCTGCTTGCACGCGCGCACGGTGGAGGTACGGACAGCAGGCGGGCAGGGGCGGGCGCCCCGGCGACGGGAGTGTGAAAGGGCCTCCAACTCGCACCTAACCTCTCACAGACCAGCGCATAGTGCCGTTGTAGGTATTATGCGGGACGATTTTCTTCTCATAACAAGGCTGTGACGTGTGTCTCCGAATGGGCAGCGCCTCGAGACAACTAGCTCGCTTGGCAGGCGTGCGCGCGGTCGCTGTTGTAGCCTTGACCGGCCCGAATGTGCGGCATCGGAGTGGTCCTGTACCACAGCCGTACCGCGGAGGCGGCCGGCTCAGCCACGACCGGCATCCCAGTGCACGCACTGCAGAGGCGCGGCCCGGACGCGCAGGGCGAGCTGGTGGTTGGCCGGCTGGAAGTGTCAGGCTACGAGCTGCGCCTCACGGCTGCAGTGCTGCACCTGCGCGGCCGCGCCTGCCAGCCGCAACCGCTGCAGTCTGCTGCCGGCGACGTGCTGCTGTGGAACGGCGAGGTGTTCGGCGGCGGCGTCGCGGTCGCCGACGGCGAGAGCGACACTGCGAGGCTGCTTGCCGTGCTGCGGGCGGCGGGTGAGGCGGTGCCGGAGGTGCTGGAGTCGGTGCACGGCCCGTGGGCCCTCGCCTACTGGCACGCGGCGAGCCGCACCCTCTGGTATGGCCGAGACGGCCTCGGCCGGCGCAGCCTGGTTCGGATGGAGGGCGCCGACGCCGCCGCCGGCTGCTCGACGCTCCGGCTCTGCTCGGTGGCTGTGCCGCTCCCGGCTTCCGCGGGCGGGGAGTGGGAGGAGCTGCCCGCCTGCGGGATCGGCTGTGTCCGCCTGCTGCCCGATGGCACCGCTTCGCACCTCTGGCTCCCGAGGCAGACCTCCACCCGCCCGCCGCCCGCCTGCCCGTCACGACCACGACCCGAGTCCTTCCTACCACTGGTTAGGCGGGCCTCCCTCCCGCCTCCGCCGCCCGCCGCCGCGACGCTGCTCGCGCTGTCGCAGCGCGAGACTCCGCCCACCGACACGGCGGCGGCGGAGGCGGCGGAGGCGGCAGTGGAGGCGGCGCTTGAGGCGGCGGCAGCAGAGGAGGAGCCGGCAGCAGTGGTGGATGTGCCTGCCCCGACCAACGGCGCGAGCAGCGCCGCCGCCGCCCTCCTCGCCGCGCTCTCTGCCGCCGTCCGCAGGCGAGTGTGCGGCGTCCCCGCGCTTGCCGGCGGTGGCGGCGGTGGCGGCGACGGCGGCGACGGCGGCTGTGGCGGTGCTGCCGTCGGGATCCTCTTTAGCGGGGGGATCGACTCGATGGTGCTTGCGCGGCTGGCTGACCTCGAGCTGCCTCCCGGCCAGCCGATCGACTTGCTGACGGTCGCCTTCGGAGCCTCTCCGGACGAGGCGCCCGACCGGCTGACGGCGCGCAACGGGCTGAGCGAGCTGTCCTCCCTGTCGGCTCGGCGGTGGAGGCTGGTCGAGGTGGACGTGAGCTTTCCGATGCTGCGGCGGAGGAGAGAGCAGCTCGAGGCACTCCTCGCCCCGGCGCGCACCGTCATGGACCTCAACATCGGAGCCGCGCTCTGGTTTGCGGCGCGCGGCGTCGGGCGGCTGTGCGAGCGCGCGCCGCCGCCGCGCGCCTCGCGCCATTGCCGCTACGCCGACGAGCCTCCGGGCGCCAGCGGAGGGCGAGGCTGTGGCCGGAGAGACCGCCGCAGGCGCCGGCAGCCAGCGGTGAGGAGCGAGGACGAGATCGGAGCCTTGCGTGCAGAGCGGGCGGCGAGGCGGCAGCGGGCGGCTGCAAACGCGCACCCACCTCCTGCGACGACGACGGCCGCGGCGAAGGTGGAGGCGGCTGCGCTGCTTCGCGTGCGGGTCGTCGCGGTCGCGCCCCGGGGCGTGCGACTGGGCCTCGAGTGGCTGGCAGGCGAGGGCGAGGGGTGCCCCGTGGCGTGGCTGCCAGCGACGGGGCATGCTGCGGCGGCGGGGCATGCAGCGGAGGGGCCCACGGGGGCGGGGCCTGCAGGGGCGGGGCCCACAGGGGCGGGGCCTGCAGGGGCGGGGCCCACAGGGGCGGGGCCTGCAGGGGCGGGGCCTGCAGGTGCAGGTGCAGGTGCGGCGGGGCTTGCCGCGACATGGGCCCCGTCCGAGGCGGGAGAGGCAGCCAAGGCGGGAGAGGCAGCCAAGGCGGGAGAGGCAGCCGAGGCGGGAGAGGCTGCTGAGGCAGGAGAAGCAGCCGAGGCAGGAGAAGCAGCCGAGGCAGGAGAAGCAGCCGGGGAGAGGTGCGGTGGCGGCGCTGGCGGCGCTGGCAGCGAGGGCGGCGAGGGCGGCGAGGGCGCTGGTGCTCGCGCAGGCAGCGAGGGCGGCGAGAGCGGCGAGGGCGGCGGCGCGCAGATGTACACGAGCGCCGCCCGCGTGCTGCTGCTCGGAATGGGCGCCGACGAGCAGATGGGCGGGTATGGCCGTCACCGCACCGCCTTCAAGCGCGGCGGCTGGGCGGGCTTGGGCGCCGAGCTCGCCGCGGACCGCGCACGGCTGTGGAAGCGCAACTTGGGGCGCGACGACCGTGTGGTGAGCGACCACGGGCGGGAGGCGCGGCACTCGTGGCTGGAAGGGTGCGCGTGAAGAGCGTCTCTTGACGGGCTCATTGCATGTGCGAGATAGGCTCGGTACCCGTTCCTGGACGAGGAGGTCGTTGCGACGCTCGCCGCGACGCCCCTCCATCTTCTCTGCGACCCGCGGCGGCCGCCGGGCGTCGGAGACAAGCTCGTGCTTCGCCTCCTCGCGCGCTCGATCGGCCTCTCGCGCTGCGCCTCGCTGCAGAAGCGCGCCACACCTGCGCTCGGCGCGGCTCCGGGGGCGGGCGCCTCGTCACACCACCGATTGCGCACAGGCGCGCCATCCAGTTTGGCACCCGCATCGCGAATAAGAATGTGAGCGGCACCGCGCTCCTCTCCCCCGACATCGCGCGCTGCACCATCTCGAGGTTGAGATCGGCCGAGATCGGCCGAGATCCGCGTCGGCATTGCCGAGAGTAGGCGCTCGACGAGCTCGTCCACCCCAACGCAGCTCTCACCGCCGCAGAGGCCGCATCGCCCGCCGCCGCTGCCCCTCCGCGCGGCAAGCCGCGCGAGTCCCTCGCCAAGCCGACCAAGCGCAGGGCGGGGGGCAGGCTGGCGGCAAAGTCGGCTGCGGCGGCCGCAGCGGTCGCGGCGGTCGCGGCGTATGCGAGGTTGCCAGAGGGCGCGCCACGGGGTCCGCTCACGGCACTACCGCTTTCTCGCGTATCGGGTCGAGTGAGCCGCGGCGCCACGCTTGCTGCGTTCGAGACGTTGCACCCGGACGGGCTGGCGGTCAAGCCTGTCTCGTGGGTCGAGCGATTGGGTGGGCTCGCGCCTGCCTCTCAGGGCGGGCTCTGGTCACGGCGCTGGCTGTGAGCAGGTCGTCGGCGAGGAGGGATTGAGCATGCTGCTCGGCGCGGGGACCGTCGAGGAGCGGCTGCTCCGGCTCGGTTTTGAGAAGCGATGGATCGAGCGCAGGCGATGGCAAGTCTTGGCCGGCGCTACGAGCTGGGGCCCATCACACGTGCATCCTTCCAGTAGGCGAGCGGCCGGGGAGGCGTTTCGGCTGGCGCTCTTTCCCGCCGAGGCGGCCGAGCCGGCCACGTGGGACGGCATCTTCAACGTGGTGCGTGAGACGTTCCCCGAGGCCGCGCCCAAGGTCCTCGCGCGGGCGGGCGAGCTCCGCGCGCTCCCCTTCGCCGAGCTGCAGGCGCGCGCGACGGCCGGCTACTTGCGCGGGGCGAGCTACTTCGAAGTCAACGAGGCGGCGATGGCAGGCGCGTCGGAAGACTCTCGCTACCTCAGTACTGCGCGGCTCGCGTCAGAGCAGTGCGAGGGGCGTGTCGAGGAGGTGCGAGGCTGGCTGTACCATGTGCTCGGACTCAGCGACCTCTTTGACGGCGCGGGCTCCACCGTGCTGCCCGACGGTCGCCGCGGGGTGGGCGAATTCTTGATTCGGAACCGGCGGGTCGCGGACTTCGGCGAGGCGTTCGCGTGGGTGGAGCTCACCCCTTGACAAGCTCGTAAAGAATAGATGTATCTCAAGAGTGGATGTGCAGCTCTGCTGGGGGGGGGGGGGGGGGACGAGCGGCAAAGTGCCAAAACGCAAAAAAGCGGCACACGACACTTGAGAGTGAGTGTGAGACACGACAGGGCATGCGAGTTGCGACAGGCACAGGCGAGAGGCGTCAGGGACAGCTCGGCTGATGGTGACACGTGATATGGGTGAAGCGGGGCAAAGCCATAGTCTGAGGGTATCCTAAAAGTTCGGCCGATTTGGGTCAAAACGCTAAAAGCACGGTTGTGCCATGCCGTAGATTGGGGCAAAACGACAGAAGTGGGCCCGCAGGCGCGCGAAAATTTTGGACATTTGTGGCCGTGCGCGGCGCCGTGCGGGCTTGGCTTTGCCCATTAGTCTGAGAGTTAGGTTTCTGGAGCCTCGGGTGCTTTTACGCTTTTGATCGGGTCAGGAGAGTGTGCGACTTTTACCACGTTGGTCGTCTCGGAGCGTCGCCTAGCTTTTAGCATTTTCTCAAAAATATTTCTTCGGCGCTGCGCGCCGGTTGCACGGCAGTAGCTAGATGCTAGTAGAAGTAGTGTAGCTATCGAGTATCGTCCCGCAAAGTAGCTGCTTCCCGCACACTATGGCTAGGGGAAAATGCTGCCGCTGCCTCGAAAGCGCCCGCCGGTGTGTGTCCAAACTTGTAGCGCTACACCGCTCGTGCTTGCGTCGGCGGCGTGGGTGGCAGCGACGAGCGAGGGAGGCGGGAATGGGGTGTGGTGGTGGCAAGGGCGGCGGCGAGGGTGGTGAGAGCAGCGGCGGTGGAGACGGTGGTGAGGAGGGTGGAGGTGAGGGTGGCGGTGCGGCGCGGCTGGAGGTGAGGGCGGCGGCAGGCCGACACGGGGTTGGAGGGAGCGGCGTACGTGCCTGGCGACGCCTCGGCCAAGTGCGCAAGAGGTCCAAGGACAGTGGCAACGGAGGTGACTTGTGGGTGATGCTAGCGGAGTGCATGCTTCGGAAAACGCAAAGAAGAGCAGCTAGCTTCGGAGGGCGGGCTCGACGGCGACGGCAAGAGCGGGGGCGGCCAGGGCGGCGGTGACAGCAGCGGCGATGGCGAGGGTTGCGACGGGGAGGGGGCCGTGAGGGCGCAGGCGAGGGCGGCGCCGGGCGGCGAAGGGGCGTCGAGGGCGGCACCGGCGTCCGCCTTTGGTTGGGATTGCAGCTGCAACGGGCGGCGGGGGCAAGGTGGGGATGAGGGTGGGGAGGGTGGCCGGAATGGTAGCGGCGGCGTGGGGGGGGAGGGCGGTGGCGAGGGCGGTGGCGAGGGCAGTGGAGGTAACGGTAACGGTGGATGGCGGTGGCGGCTGTGGAGCGAGAGGGTGGCGGGGGCAATGACAGTGGGCAAGCGAGTTGGCCGGGCGATGCTACACAGAGGAGCGCAGTGGGTGCTTTGGAACGCAAAGAAGAGCGTGGAAGGCTCTGAGTAGACTTAGACGCTCGCGCCGCCCGCTCCGGAGGCCGCATTCAGCCCGGAGGGGGACCGCGGGAGCGCCCAGTGGCGGCTCGGGGAGAGCCGGGTGTGTCTGCGCAGTGGCCTGCGCGCTGCCTTGGGCAGAAATCGCGCTCTCGCCCCCTCGGCTCCGCCCCCGAGCGAGTGAGGCTCGGAGGAGAGGCGAGAGAGGGGGAGAGCGCCGAGAGAGCGACTGGGGAACGGGAGAGGCCCTGAGGGTTGTTGCGCGCGCGCAACAAATCGTCAGAACCAAGGCTGAATCTCAGCGGATCGTGGCAACAAGGCCACTCTGCCGCGTACAATACCCCGTTCCTTATTCAAGTCGTCTGCAAGGGATTCGTCGGCCCGGGTCCGTGAATTGTGGTCGCTCGCGGCTCAGGCAGTGCTACCGTTGCTCGTGGCGTCCCCGGGCCGGTAGGTGGCTTTCCTTCCGGCATGGATTCTAACTTAGAGGCGTTCAGTTATAATCCGGCGCATGGCAGCTTCGCCGCATCGCCGTTTCCGGCGGCGGCTATACCGATGATGCGAATTGGTGGTTCCTCTCGTACTGAACCAAATTACCGTAGAAAAACAGACAGCAGTAGGGTAAAACTAACCTGTCTCACGACGGTCTAAACCCAGCTCACGTTCCCTGTTGGTGGGTGAACAATCCTGCATTTGGCCCCCGCTGCGAGGCAGTGATAGGAAGAGCCGACATCGAAGGATCAAAAAGCTACGTCGCTATGAACGCTTGGCAGCCACAAGCCAGTTATCCCTGTGGTAACTTTTCTGACACCTCTAGCTTGAAATTCCCAAAGACGAGAGGATCGATAGGCCACGCTTTCGCGGTTTGTATTCGTACTGAAAATCAAAATCAACCGAGCTTTTCCCCTTTCGGTCCACATGAGATTTCTGTTCTCATTGAGCTCAAAATCGGGCGCCTGCGTTATTTTTTAACAGACGTGCCGCCCCAGCCAAACTCCCCACCTGTTAGTGTCCCCGACGCGGATCGCGCGCACGAAGCGGCTTGGATCCAGAAGTGAGGCGAGCCTCCCTCCGCGCCACCGAGTAAGTAAAACAACGTTGACGGTTGCGGTATTTCACTGTCGGGTTGCCCCTCCCGCATATTCTACACCCATCAAGTCGTTCCACAGTAACAGACTAGAGTCAAGCTCAACAGGGTCTTCTTTCCCCGCTGATTCTTCCAAGCCCGTTCCCTTGGCTGTGGTTTCGCTAGACAGTAGATAGGGACAGTGGGAATCTCACGAATCCATTCATGCGCGTCACTAATTGGATGACGAGGCATTTGGCTACCTTAAGAGAGTCATAGTTACTCCCGCCGTTTACCCGCGCTTGGTTGAATTTCTTCACTTTGACATTCAGAGCACTGGGCAGAAATCACATTGCGTCAGCACCCTCGCGGGCCATCGCAATGCTTTGTTTTAATTAAACAGTCGGATTCCCCTTGTCCGCGCCAGTTCTGAAGCGGCTGTTCGTCGCGCAGGGAGAGCCGGAGCGCTCCTAGGCCGTCCGCCGGACGGCCGCGCGGGATCCGCAGCCGTGAGGCCGTAGTCCCCGCGCAGCCAGCCGGCCTCGAGCCTAGGACCCCTGCGCCCAGCCTTCAGAGCCATTCCTTCTCCCGAGGTTGCGGAACCATTTTGCCGACTTCCCTTACCTACATTGCTCTATCGACTAGAGGCTGTTCACCTTGGAGACCTGATGCGGTTATGAGTACGACCAGGCGTGAGAACGAACCGCTCCCCCGGATTTTCACGGGCCGTCGGGAGCGCGCCGGACACCCCAAGACTTAGGGTGCTTTGCCTGCCGTGTAGCCCTCGCTCCGGCTAAACCGATTCCAGGGCAGGAGGCAGTTAAGAAGAAAAGAGAACTCTTCCCAGGGCTCCCGCCGGCGTCTCCGGGTTCGTTCGCGTCGCCGCCCACCATCCACGCGCTGGCTCGGGAATATTAACCCGATTCCCTTTCGACGGACGGGCTGACAGAACCAGCCGCGTTCGGCGGAGTTTTCCTGTCTCTTAGGGTCGGCTCACCCGTGTCCAACTGCTGTTCACACGGAACCTTTCTCCACTTCAGTCTTCAAAGTTCTCATTTGAATATTTGCTACTACCACCAAGATCTGCACCGGGGCCCGCTTCACCCAGGCTCGCGCCCAAGGCTGCGCCGCGAGCCCCGCGCCCTCCTACTCGCCGGCGCCTCGCGCTCGCGCCGGCGGCCGCGCATCGGTGGTCCGCTTGAGCGCCATCCATTTTCAGGGCTAGTACCTTCGGCAGGTGAGTTGTTACACACTCCTTAGCGGGTTCCGACTTCCATGGCCACCGTCCTGCTGTCTGGAGGTACCAACGCCTTTTGTGGTATCTGATGAGCGGACACTTGGGTACCTTAGCGCGGCGTTCGGTTCATCCCGCATCGCCAGTTCTGCTTACCAAAAATGGCCCACTTTGAACGCGCCGTTCGCCGCCCGGGATCACTCAAGCATCCCGGGCCTCTTGCCCATTTAAAGTTTGAGAATAGGTGCAAGCTGTTTCAGCCCACAGGCCTCTAATCATTCGCTTTACCTGACAAAACCGTTGCGTTCAAGCTATCCTGAGGGAAACTTCGGAGGGAACCAGCTACTAGATGGTTCGATTAGTCTTTCGCCCCTATACCCAGATTCGACGAACGATTTGCACGTCAGTATCGCTACGAGCCTCCACCAGAGTTTCCTCTGGCTTCACCCTACCCAGGCATAGTTCACCATCTTTCGGGTCCCGACAGGTGTGCTCCACTCAAACCCCTCACAGCAGGTCAAGGTCGGTTGGCAGGGCATGCCCTTCACTTTCATTCCGCACGCGGGCTTGCCACCCGGGTACTCGCACACGTGTCAGACTCCTTGGTCCGTGTTTCTAGACGGGTCGGAGGGGCCCGTTCCGTCAGCCGGGCCCCGGGCCGCGCCAGGACGGGAGCTGGCCGTAAAGCCCCGCTCCCGGGTTGAGGCGCGGCGCCGAGGCGCGGCTGACCCGGCGCGCAGAAGTGCACCTGGGGAGAACCCCAGGCTGAGTCGGCGCGCCGAAGCCGGGCCCATCCGGGTTTCCTCCTACCGATTTCAAGCACTCTTTGACTCTCTTTTCAAAGTTCTTTGCATCTTTCCCTCACGGTACTTGTTCGCTATCGGTCTCTCGCCAGTATTTAGCTTTAGATGGAATTTACCACCCAATTCAAGCTGCAATCCCAAGCAACCCGACTCGACGAGGACGCATCGTAAGGCCGCAACCCGCCACGGTACGGGATTCTCACCCTCTCCGACACCCTGTTCCAAGGGACTTGAGCAGCGGGCGCGGCCGATAACGCCTCTCTAGACCACAATTCGGGGGGCGCTGCATACGCGAGGCCTCCAGATTGGCAGCGTGAGCTCAGCCCGCTTCATTCGCCATTACTAGGGGCATCCTGGTTAGTTTCTTCTCCTCCGCTTAGTGATATGCTTAAGTTCAGCGGGTAGTCTTGCCTCATTCGATGGCGGGTTTCGAGGCGCGCGGCCGCACAGAGAGCGGCCGCGCGC